TTATGGTTACACTTATGGTTAGCTTCACTACAGTGGGATTTTAAGCATGTGTTTAAGTTAAACCTGTGCTTAAGTGCCCTTCCTGAATAGAAACACTTCTCTGAATCAGAGCCTTAGTTTGAAGGCTTTTTGGACCAGGACCTTTTTTTTTCAAGATGTGCATACAGACCCTAGCATACTCGAGACCTGATCCCTTACTGGAATCTCTATGTTCTTCTGCAATGCAAATATTTATAAATTAAATTATAACATACTTTACACTGTATATTTGTGTGGACATTATGTACATGATATTGTGTCTGTTAACTTCGTTCTTGTCTCTACAGGTGAAAGCCTCTTCAGTTCTTAGACATAAGGGTAAGCATGCATAGATTTAAATTGCATTGTGCATGTGTATTTTTGTTTATATATTTCCGTAGACAGGTGCCCTGTGTTCAGAATATCTGAAATTCAGATAATCAGAATTTTGGAAAAACAAAATTTTGAGTTTGAAGCACACTTATAAAATTTGGACAACTGGAGTTTAGATAATCACAGTTGAAATAGAACAGCGGCTGTGAGAATATTGTAATTTAAAACACAATCAGTGCTATCTTTAATTGTTGCACAGTGCTTGGGCACAAGAGAGATACCACTGCGAAGGGCACCTAGAAAAAAATCTCTACTGCTGTTGATTTGTTACTTTAAAATGTTGTATAATATATATTCTGAAATTAAAGTATTTAACATTTTCAAGAGGAAAATACAAATAAGAATCTATGTAAAAACAAAACCTGTACAGAGGAGTCAGCAAATGGTGACCAAATCAATGGCTTGACGTCATCTTCCAGTTTGTTTAGCTGTTTCTGAAATGAGCTGAAGACTGATACGATGCAAATAGTGTTTGCTTTTGAAAAATTAACTCTGAATTCTTAAAAACGCAGCATTGCATTTTTTCAGCAGCCTGCCTCCCTCCATTCTGGTATTGGCCCACAGTAGTCTTCATGTAAACAGCTAAATCTGGGGGGTGAAGGTTGATATAATAATCTTTGTGATTGTAAACAGAAATAGTTTGTTTAAAATATGTACACACGCATGGACATATATTACTGCCTAATATCATAAGCTATTAACAGAATATCTCTGTCAATTTAAACATTGAATTTTATTAAATAAGACAATTGCAACTCCTGGGTTGAGCACCTAGAATCTGTCCTTTTGTTTTCAGGTGTTGTTAAAGAGCAGTTTAAAAAAAATAAACTTTTAGCCAAAATTTCTCCTGTTCCTTCTTAGTCTGAAAAGTGACCTTTTTGTGTGTAACTTAGGTAAAATTCCAGTGGTTATTTGAGTTGTCTTAGAAAGAAAAAGGGTTTCTCATGCTCTAAAGATTTTTTTTCCCTGTCATTTTTCAGAAAACTGAGAAATGGGTCCTTTCCAAAATTTTACATTCCCTTGACTAAGGACTTGTTACATGTACTGAAATAAATAAATCTATTTTAATTCATACCTTTTTATTTTGCTGCATGCTTGTGTGTGGACACTCTTATTTTGGATTAAGAGAGTACTGTTTTGTTTTAGAGTCATATTTCAATTAAGTTGAAATAATAAGGGGTGAAATAGCTATACAGGGCTTGCCTTGTATATTTAAAAAGAATTAAAATTAGAGCAGTTATTTTGGTGCATATTTGTGTGTAAGACAAGACGTTAGTGTTCAAGTGGAACAAGCGTCTGACATATTCAAGGACACTTAGGTTCTAAGGCTACATTTAAAAAAAAATGGGTGCAAAAAATTAGGTTCCTAAATCCAAATTTAGGTCACAGTCCGTATGTGTAAAGTTAAGTATTTGTGTGTGAGTAGTCCTGCAGAAGTCGTTGGTTCTGATTCAGGAAAGAATGTACTGAAATCCATCCCTATTCAGTACATCACTAACTTGAAGCATGTGCTTAAATACTATCCTGAATAGATATCCTTTCCTGAATCAGGGCTATATTTTGTAAACACAACACTTCTGTCTGAAGTCAATGGAAGTGATCAAACTTCATACAGTTACTGGAAGTTCTCTGCCATAGGAGGACAACCAAAACACAGAGAAAATATGTAAATAAATGCAATACAAAATTAAAACTAGCAAGTACAGTGCATGAAATTAAAAATTCTTTCATATCACACTTCTTGTGCCTTGTTTTGTTTTTGTTTTTTGTTTGTTTGTTTTTTGGGGGTTATTTTTGTTTTAAATATATCCATAGTTAAGGATTCCAGTCCTCCTCCTCCTCCTCTGATCCTTCTTTAAGAAAAATAGCCACTGAAGTTCAGTATTTCCTGAGCTCAGTGCACCAGTCTTATTTGGTAAATTAATGGAAATAAACTATTTGGAAACTACAAAGTACAGAATTACACATACTAGATTTTCTTGTTTGTGCATGAAGGGCCAAATCATGGCAAAACTTCCATTGCATTCACTGGAACCAGGATTGGACCCTGTTGATTCACATATAAGTAATACTGTGTAAACAATATTGGAGATAATATTCTGTTTGTAATTGGCTAGTACAGAATTACAAATATGAGACTTCGTCATCTGTGCTAACTATGTACACTTACTTAGAAGTGTAAACAGTGTAAATCATGTAAACAGATTTGTAGGTAACCTTCTGTAACTGATTCATTTAGATCCTGCCATTTCCTGGTCTGTGTTATTTCACTTTCAATACATCTTAACAATATTTTTCTCTTTCATATCCTTTGTATTTATTATCCCTGGGACAGATTCTGCCATCTTTACTTATGTTGAGTAGTACCTTACTCCAGGAATAGACCTACTGAAATCTGGGACTACTTGTTGAGTAAGATACTACTTATCCTGAGTAAGAGTGGCAGAATTTTCCACCTATATCAAGGGTGGGCACATTTTTTCTCCCGAGGGTCACATCGGGAATAGAAATTGTATGGCAGGCCATGAATGCTCACAAAATTGGGATTGGGATGTGGGCTCTGGGGTGGAGCTGGGGATGAGGAGTTTGGGGTGTAGGAGGGTGCTCTGGGCTGGGACTGAGGGGTTCAGAGGGTGTGAGGGGGATCAGGGCTGGGGCAGGAGCATGGGAATCAGTGCAGGTTCCAGCTGGGGGTGCGGGCTCTGGCGTGGGGCTGGAGATGCGAGGTTTGGGGTGTAGGAGGGTTCTCCGGGCTGGGATCGAGGGGTTTGGAGAGTGGGAGGGGGATTAGGGCTGGGGCAGGGGGTTGGGGCATGGGGAAAGGTTCAGGGGGTACAGGCTCCGAGCGGCGCTTACCTCAAGTGGCTCCTGGAAGCGGTGTCATGTCCCCCACTCCGCCTTCTTCGCAGAGGCCAGGCCAGGAAGCTCTGAATGGTGCTCTGTCCGCAGGCACCGCCCCTGCAGCTCCCATTGGAGCATGTAGGAGCTGGAGCAAGGTTATGATGCAGCTTCCGGGAGCTGCGTGGTGCAGCCCCCAACCCAGCACCCTGGCTGGAGCATTGGAGTGAGGCCAAGCCATGTGTTTAGTCCTAAACAATTACTAATGTGTGCAGTATTCCATATTTAAAAATTTAATAAAGATTTTCACCAAGAGAGCCTTTTCTTTATTATTATTGTTTGGTTCTCTACATCAGCGGTTCTCAACCAGGGGTCTGAGGCCCCTGGTGGGCCGTGAGCAGATTTCAGGGGGTCCGCCAAGCAGGGCCAGCATTAGACTCACTGGGGTCAGGACAGAAAGCCAAAGCTCCACCTCCCCGAGCCCTGCCACCCAGGCCTGAAGCTGAAGCCTGAGCAGCTTAGCTATGCAGGGCCCACTGTGGCATGGGGCCCTGGGCAATTGCCCTGCTTACTACCCCTTAATGCCGGCCCTGGTTTTTATATTCAGAAAAACAGTTGTTGTGGCCCAGGTGGGGAGTTATAGCATGTTGGGGAGCCTCAGAAATAAAAAGGTTGAGAACCCCTGATCTACATCCTTCAGTTGGGAACTGGAAAGCAATTTTTCAGAACTTTGTTGATTTCTTCCAACTGTTTAAAAAAAACCCAACAGAGCAGATAGAGTTTTCAGACTTCTCCTAAAATGTTTTCAGTTCTGATTCATTAAATTAATGTTGTCTTGTAATTGAATTAATATTTCCTTCTCTCGATACTAAATCTACAATTCCCTATCCTAATAAACTTTATGAATATACAATAAAAAACTAAGGAAACTCTAACAATAAAACCACCTTTAGTCAGTTTTGGTTGTGGAAGAACATCTGTTAATTTATAGTATGACAGTTTTACTTCTGTAGTTATAAAATACCATTTGCAAGGGTAGAAATCATAGTTAAGGTTTCATAAACAACACTAAATCTGCCTCTGGATCCTTTGCCATCCTCTACCTAAACATTTATATTTACATTTCTAGCATGGGCTGCTAAGCCTACTAAGTAACCATATGCAAAAACAAAGTACATAAAATAGTGACTACATTAATTTATTTCACAGAAATTGTGTGTTTTAAAAGCTATCAGCAATATTTAATGCCATTAAACATCTTGGGCTACAAAGTTCTTACAGAAAAAGGGATAAATGAAACAAACAAACAAAAAAATGAGCTGCTTAGTTCATCCAATCCTGCAAAGACTCATGCAAATATAGAGAGTCCAGTGGAGGGCAACGAAAATGATTAGGGGGCTGGAGCACATGATTTATGAGGAGAGGCTGAGGGAACTGGGCTTATTTAGTCTGCAGAAAATAAGACTGAGGGGGGGATTTGATAGCAGCCTTCAGCTACCTGAAGGGGGGTTCCAAAGAGAATGGAGCTAGGCTGTTCTCAGTGGTGGCAGATGACAGAACAAGGAGCAATGGTCTCAAGTTGCAGTGGGGGAGGTCTAGGTTGGATATTAGGAAAAACTATTTCACTGGGAGGGTGATGAAGCAGTGGAATGGGTTACCTAGGGAGGTGGTGGAATCTCTGTCTTTAGAGGTTTTTAAGGCCCAGCTTGGATGATTTAGTTGGGGTTGGTCCTGCTTTGAGCAGGGGGTTGGACTAGATGACCTCCTGATGTCTCTTCCAACCCTAATATTCTATGATTCTATGACATGCTTAATTTTACATATGAAATCAATGGGCCTTATTACATGTATAAAGTTGAGCACACATCTATGAGTCTTTGTCAGATGGAGGCCTTAATCATTAAGCATATTTTAAACCTGAATAATTGAATAACACTTGACAGTAAAATGGGTTAAAAGAAAAGTATATGCATGTAATTCCCAAGAAACACAACTTGCAAGGGATTCTCAATTAGAGGTTTAAAGATCTCCACCAAGAATCTCTTTATTACTCTTGAGAAATCTGAAAGTCCCAACAGTCACCATAATCAAAGAGTGAGTACTTTATATTGTCTTCAAATAGTCTTAACATTATGGAATACGGAATTGACACAAAAAAGCCTAAAACAGTAAATGTGATGGTAATTAATTAATTTTCCTAGCCTGGGTGCTCCTAGAAAGATCAAGATGAAATCCTGGCTCTACAGAAGTCAGTGGCAAAACTCTTAATGACTTCAGTGGGTCTCAGATTTCATTCTGAGAAAGTTAGCAATCCTGTGATCGTAATTTAAAGTAATTCCCTTGCTCTTCCATACTTGATGCATGTTTTTCCCTTCCTAAAATTGAGGCAAAAATTACAATTTATAGCAGAAGAAAAATTTGTTTTAGTAGATTTAGGGCCCAGTCCAGCAAGACACTTAAGCATGTACATAGTCTCACTGAAATCAGTAGGACGACTACTGCTTAAAATTAAGCCTATGCATAAGTCATAGCATGATCCAGGCCTAAAATGATAGTGAGATTTTATTTGATATCCTGAATGCTTTTCAGTCTGAAGAGGCAGATCATACAGTTGAATAATACTTAAATTACCTTGAAAACTACAAATCCCAGAGAGCATTGCAGACACCAGGCTTGTGCAATGTTACAGTCCTCCTGTAAAGAACCAATGACAAACAGAATTCAGGAATCTCGGATGACATCTCAGTGTATTAAAAAGCGCTGTAGGGAGCCCTAAACCAGACTGTAAAAAGCAGTTTTCCCTGGGCTACATTTAGACAATCCTATAAGCTTTCTATTGACAGTTTATACTTTCCTCTTGGTGCGCATCAGCTGTTGGGGAAAAAAGCTGTTTGGCTAGTCCAAATGGATGCAATTTTGAACTGCAATCTGGATGATATGGAAGATTATTACATCTTGCTAGGATGTGATGAACTATCCACGGTAAAAGAGTAATTCTGTTTTCTTTGCCATGTTAATGTTAGCTTGTTTTGGCTTTGTATGCTTTTAAGGGGAGTTTGAAGTTAATGTTTATCTGTGAATGTATGATTATTTGAAACGCGACATGTACCTGCTCTCTTACCTACAAAATATCTTTGAATTTCTCTTCCTCTATTAATCTCAGTAATTGATTTCTTTGACACAATGAAGCTTTTAGAATATAGTTCATAGTAAAGATACTCTGTAATACAAAGCTGTATTGTAACATCTTGAATAGCTTATTTTTAATGTAAATAATTTGTTTATTAAGTTAGTTCCATGTGTGATGTCAGAATGCACTTTGAAACACTTGTAAAATATTATTTGTAGGCTGTTATACAATATATTGATGTACTTAAAAGGTGGCAGCAGATAAGTATTGTCAGTGCAACTAATATAAGAAATGTAAAAATGTTCTCCTCTTTGTCAATAATTAGTAATGATATTCAGTTTCTAAGATAATAATATACACCTCTACCCCAATATAATGCTGTCCTCGGGAGCCAAAAAATCTTACCACGTTATAGGTGAAACTGCGTTATATCAAACTTGCTTTGATCCACCGGAGTGCGTAGCTCCCCTTCCCCTCCCGGGAGTGCTGCTTTACCGCATTATATCCGAATTCATGTTATATCGGGTCGCATTATATCGGGGTAGAGGTGTATCACTTTTGGAAAAATATAGCCATTGCTTGGGAGAAAAAAATGTGTTTCAAACAAACCCCACCCTAGCCCCTCCTTTCCTACCCCAAAATACCGATGTTCAAATGCTAGTTTTCTAGACTCACTTTGGTAGCCGTTACATGTCATCTCATATCTTAGGATAAAATCTATCTCAAAAGCTGTTGGATGACTGTAACTAAAACAAGAGTTCCTCTACTTACTAAAATTGTCCTAAATTACATTTTCTAATTATGCAAATTCAGGAACATGCTAAAATTTTAAAACTAGCTTCTGTGTCAATTGAAGTAGTACTGGGTGTTAGGCTTTTTGCTTTCTAACATTTCTGCTATAATTGTTAATATTATATATGAGTTAAATGCTTTGTTCTGCAAATGTAATTTAATACTCTACCAATATTTTATCACTAATATAGACAAAAGTCTTTGATGTGCGCCCAAATACATATGTAAATATAGTTAGAAAAATATAGAATTCTTAATCTATTATTGATAACAAGTTTAAGCATTTTCGGAGAGGAGTTTTAAGACATCCCAGCAGGTGGCAGTACTAATTTTTTTATTTTAGCTTTATTTCAGCTTTTTTTAACAGATGAAAAAGGTTAATTCAATAATTCTGTTTTATAGTCTTGGGAAGAGATGCATACTTCAAGCACATACTGTAAGCCTTTTTTAAAGTTACTTTGAAGTGAAAAATAATGTGTTGTAATAACTGCTTACTGGTTCTGAAAAGTAATCTTTTACACATTATTTATTCAGAGACGCAACCAATACTCTTTGTTTACTGTTGCCCTGTGAGTAGGAATTGTATATGTGAGATTGTGACTCTTTTGAGTACCACTATTACATGCCTATAGAAAAAACATATTTTGTTGTATTTTTAAAACGGCAATATTTTCAACATTTAAAATATAATTTGTATAATAAAATTGTCATCTAATGAAAACATATTGAAAATATGGTTTAAATATTTATAGCAACATAGGCTCCCATGCTTTCTCTTCCATGCATGTTCAGTGGCAAGCCTACTCCTGCAGATCCCAGCTTGGGCCTTGATCCTGAAAGATGCTGAGTCCTCTGATTCCAATTTTGCAAAGCACTTGAGCACGAGTAGTTCCATTCATTTCAGTGGAATTGCTCATGTAGTTAAAGTTGATTATGTACTTTGCTGGATCAGGGCCAGCGTATTCAGCCCCTTGCAGCATCAATCCTCAAGGGAGTGGAGGAACTGAAAGGGGCAGAGGCATGACAGGGCAGTGCAGCAAAGTGCTTCCATAAAGAAGCCCCTTGCATCTCCTGAATCTGCAGGTTTGAGAGAGAGAGGGATGGTCAAATCTATAGCCTCCTACATCAGGAAGTGTTGTTTCAGTTTAGGGGAGTCCCAGACTCCTTACTTGGTAAAATCTATTACTCTCTCTATATATCTTAATATTTTTCCTTAGCTTATTTTTATTATCTTATTTATATATTAATAATTCTTGTTATATTTAGGTCTGAAAAGAAATGAGATTACATTTTCAAAAAGTAATGTTACTGTAAACCTTGTCATTTAAAATCCCTGCATATAAATAGTTTTTAGAGATGTATTGGTAACTAGTCTCTCTGCTGAGTACCTAGTTCCAACAATCTGTATGTAAGTGTGAACCTTTACTTACAGTTTTCTTAAAACCAAAGCGTACATCTATGGAAAAATGCATGTTCATGAAGAAAAGGGTAAAGACGGGAGTACAGAGAACAAAATTAAATTAGTTACACAGCTGTCAGATGGTTCTTGTTATATATTTTGATTATACAGGGTCTTGTAAAATCAAGGGAGCAAAACACCACCCCTCCCCGAGTCTTCCCCCGTCCAAAAGCCCAATCCCAAAAACCTTTGTGTGTGTGTGTGTATGTATTTATGTATTTTAAATGTTGATATTCTATTTAGGTTGAACAAATTCTTGCAGAGTTTAAGGTTAAAGCCCTTGAGTGTCACCCTGACAAACATCCTGGAAACCCTAAAGCTGGTATGTAGTCTTTCCTATTTAAAAACAATCTATTGCCTTAAATTATAATTAAGGCATTGAATGCAGCCTAAAAGCCATCAGTAAATATTGATTCCCATTTTAATATTCTATAATTTTTACATATATGGAATGTACTCTCTTAAATATCAAGCCTTAATATTTTGCTGTAACGCTTACACAATCATGGATATTAGAACAGGAAGACACTTGTTTGATTATCTAGTCCAGGAGTTGTCAAAAAAATGTTATAGGATGATGCACATTTAAAACCAGAGATTGTCTTGTGGACCACATCCCCTCCCATGCATGATTGCATGGACTATCTCCTCTCCCACTGGGAATCAAATGACATATTTGGGTTAACTACAATAATTGCTCATATGAAAAGTAACATTAGGAAAATATTTAATGTATTTTAGCTTCTTTTAATGTAAGTTAGCAGCTGGAAATAAGGAGGACCCAGCACCATGTGACAGGCCAGCTCTCCACAGACCAACAACAAACATTAGAAATTGTGGAAATGCTGTCAGTCACGCAAATAATCGTAACCTTGCCCCCATAACAGTGCCTTGAGGAAAAACCGGATACTCTGAGACAGGTTTATCTATCCATAACCAACAGGGTCACTGTCATCAATGACCACAAACATTTTGAATGCCTGCTCTGGCCTTCTTTATGTCTATACAAAATGCACAGAAAAAAAATAAGATAAACAGTATATTGAAGGCGATCATTCCCTACTCTTCATTAAGTTTCCACGTATTGCCAAATGTGTTGTTGGACACCAAATTAGTGCATCTATGTATACAAACATCATAGGCCCAGATCATGGAAATTATAGTACATGGAAAACTCCCAAAACAAAGATTAATTTGATGACAGAGTGCAACATTTAATATTGGACATGTTTGTATTAAACCAGTTATAACAAGACAGTGCTCTGAGATGCACATTTCTGATACTCCACCCAAAAACTTTGAAGCTGATTCTGCCTCCTGCTACGCATATTGGGACTATTCTTAGAGTGAGGAACTACATGATGACTGGGATTTTCAAAGTGATTTAAGGAAATTAGACATCCAAATCTTTTTGAAATTCCAACTCCTTTAGGCCCCTTTGAAAATCCCAGCCCATATGACTAAAGGGAGCAGAAGCAGGACCTCTTCTCCCAGTTTAAAATATTCTCAGCTATAGACTGCTGAGTTCTTAAAGCCCTTTGAAAGCATTATTGCAGAATAACTAAATAAAATGTTCCATTTTGGTTAATGCACAAAAATGCCTATTCAGATTTTCTCTCAGTTTAATTGGAGGCACACTGACAAACATAGTGGTAGCAACCACACAGTTTGGGATTCTTGCTTGCACCCTTCTCCCAGAATAGTAGAGGCACTACACTCAAGAGGATGAAAGAGTACTCACTGTCTACTGACACCTTCAGATGTCTTGAGAGTGGTATTAAGTTGTACTGAGCTCTTCTTGGCTTTCTGAAATGTGAGTTGAGGCCTAGTAGATTGATGGGAGAATAAAAAATAAAATGGGGTGTGATTCTTCATTCTGAGAGAGCCTGAGAGGGATCCCTCCAAAATTTGTTGAAGAGTCCACCTTTTACAAAATGATCTTAAATCCTACTTTCCAAAATATATTTAAACATACTTGAAAGAGCAACTGGATAAGAGGACCAAATTCTTCCGTAAATAAACGGAGGCTACCCCATTGACTTCAGTGAGGAGGCAGAGGCATAAGTGAGACCCAAATCTGGTCCATTGCTTGGAATTTTTAGTGTTAAATTGAAGTAAAAATAAATCATTTAAAAAAAAAAGGGGGAGCCTAAGATCCAAATAGTGGAGCAGTCTTGTGTATTAAGAGCAAACAGTTTATGCTTCATTTACTTGAACAGTCTACTAAATGTCTTACATTTTCACAGTACAGTAAACATTGACTCATTGATTCATTTCAGTACCAGCATATTAAAAAATAACTATCAAACTAGACTGCTTTTTATACCCCCAAAACTGGTCACACTGGAAAAAAGAAACAGAAATAAGAAAAAAAAATCCTGTGTGTTGTTTGATTTATGCTTATCAGCTTTGGTTAGTGCTTGAGTTCAGCATATTTCAAAAGAAGTCTCTACTATAAACTGGAATAAATAAATAATAATAATAAGCCACTCTAATAAGGATGACTCATAGATAAAATGTAAATCTTTGTAACCTTTACACAAATAGTAACACACAGCTGCATCCTTAACAACTATTTTATAAAGAATTTTTGCTCCTTCAAGAGAAATAAGAGATCTTATTCACACAATCTGGAATGTAAAGTAATATCTTATTACATACACAAAAGATGTGAGGTTAAGCAATGCCGTTAGCTAACCTGTACTATGCTATGTTAAGACTTTTCTGCTTGCTGCTCACATAATGTCATTATGCTTCTTTCTTACTGTCCCTTGGTGGTGTGTTCTGCTCTAACTTCCTTTCTGCTTCGGATCATGCTATGTTCCTTGTGAAATGCTGTCATGCTATTGCAATGTAGGTGTTTAAACAGGGCGACATCTCATGTGTTTTGCTTTGAATACCACATAATTTTGATAGCCCTCAAGTTTATAAAGCTTCTAAACCAAGAGACAAAAAGGCTCCACATTTGCATTGAATTGTTCATCTGAAAGAGGGCATCAATTGTCCACTAAAGGTGTTAGCTGTTGAGTCAGCTAAGCCTTCCTCAAAGCAGTGAGCAGAACTGCCACAGCTCTTCATCACTCTTTTTTTTCTCTTTTTCTGCCCCAACCTGTGTTGCTGTTACATAGCTATTTATTGGTCATTCCTGTTCCACAAGGGAATTAATTTATTTAAAAATAAGTATTTGATGTAACATCCTTTGGTTTGTGTTTTAGTGGAGAATTTTCAGAAGCTGCAGCAGGCTAAAGAGATTCTTACTAACGAAGAAAGTCGAGCTTGTTATGATTACTGGCGACGAAGCAAAATTACCATTCCATTCCAGCAGTGGGAGGCTCTGAGCAACTCCATAAAAACGGTTGGTTTTTGTTTACCTAAATTTCCTGGGTATACATTAGCATTAGGAGATTAGGTAGGTCTATGGGAAAGGAAATTCTCCCATGGGCAAAACTGGATGGGTCAGAGATTAAGGAATGTTCATTATAACAGCCTTCTATTGTTTTTTAATCAGTTTCCCAGTGTTGATCTGATGGAGGAAAGGACACTAATTAGAAGCAGTGCTGCTATGTGACCAAAAGTACTCCACCAAAATTGCTTCATAGCAATATGTAACAATAGTGCAGAAAAATACCCCAGAATTCATTAAAAAAACAAATGCCACAAAGTGGAAGGCAGTCAGATGATATAGACATTTATGAACACATATGTGATGAAACTCTCATAGCTGTTTTTTGTTCTCAGGGACAATATACCGGTAGGTTTTATCTTGTATTTCTGTCAGTCCCATAGCAACTTTCTCAACATTTCAAAACACTTCAGTCATTTAAAAATAATGTATTTGGGGTTGGAAGTGGCTATATGATCTTGGTTAACCAAAGAAATGTACTATGATAAAAGACTCGTTGTATATTTTAAGTTAGTTTTCAGAATGATTACTGGGGGTGAAATCCTGGCCTCATTAAAGTCAATGGCATACTGTCATTGACTTCATTGGGGCCAGGATTTCACCCTAGGAAAATAAATCTTCAGTAATTTCTTTAATGAGACTATTGAATAGATTTTTGGAGTAACCAGCATACCAACAAAAAATGTAATACCATAGTATCTGAAGTTGTTATGGTTTTTTTCCTGTTGGCTGCGAGGATTTAATATGACAAACTGGAAATACCTGCATATCTCTAGTATAACCAGTTGTTTTTCCTAACAATTGATAGATTCTAACCTAATAAATAATAATGACAAATGATATTTAAATTAATATCTTTCTAGTTCATAAACAAATGATCCTTTCTGGTCATTTCTTTACTTTTCAGAACAGATTTTTGTTTATTTTCTAGTCTATATCAACTGCTGTTGATTTATATTTTTTATTGATGCTTGTGAAAATGAGTGAGTCATTGCTGTGTATTAATTCTGTTGATGTCACCACTGCCCTGAACACTGAGTACTACAATTCATTTTGAGAAGAAATACTCTATGAAGATAAATAATCTGGAAGGTGCTATTATGTCTGAGCAAACCAAACTATTCAGAAGTTTTGATATTTTGTCTTTGATGTGACTGCCAGATATCAGAGGTATTAATTTGTTCTGTTCAGGCACCTTATATGTTTTTTCCACAAACTTTATTTCAGGCTAATGATTTGGACAAATTGGAGAAATGGTCTGAGTTAAACAGGATGAAGTTTAACAAAGACAAATGCAAAGTGCTCCACTTAGGAAGAAAAAATCAGTTTCACACATACAGAATGGGAAGAGACTGTTTAGGAAGGAGTACA